GCATGTAGAGGCCTTCCAGCTGCTTCCAAGGGACTGGACATCACCTTCTGCCTTGGCTCAGAGCTGTGTTCCATTATCCAGGAAGGAGAAACTATAGGTGATGCTGGGATGGAAAAAAAATTACTTCAGAAAGATGCTTCGTAGCAGAGAAATCATCACTTAAGATAAAAGACCACTGGACAGCAGAAATTATGAGGACGGTACTAGACTGTCCCATCTTGAAGCAGTAAACATTTACACAGACACCTTGCCTGTTAGGGAATGACTGACACATGGATGCAGCTTGCTCTTCCAAAAGATGACAGTCACGGGAAGGAAAGAAGGGAGGCTACTTGATTTTTAAAATAAGCTTAAACAAAGCCAACAGTGAAAGTTACAACACCTGATACTACTCCAGAGTCACTGTTTTGATACAAATCCAGAAAACATCTGGAAAAATGAACAGAGTATTTTTAAAGAGACAAAACTTTCCTGGACAAGGAGTGCAGAAGGAATTTCTCCTGACATACAAATGCAGAGAAGCAGTGACATTTTGCTGGTTTGGGAGTGAAAAAGCTCCAGTGTGTAAATTTAGTGTGAAAGTACAAATGAGATGTCACGAGTATGAGGGGATAAGGCTTCAGTAAGAGGGTAGTAAGGGAAAATGCAGTCAAAGCAGCATGAATTCCATTAAAAATCCAAACTAAATGAAAGGCATCACATCCAAAGCACATCTAAGGAGAGGGTTTTGGTGCAGAAGAACATACTGGGTAAAGACTCTGGCTCAGAATCAGGATCATGGGCTCTGTCATCACTGTCAACCACCAGTGACTTGTGATGTGCTGGAACTTTGGTTGCTGCTGTCTTTTGCCTCCCATCATCCTCAGGTACATCATCATTCATAACCTGATTGAGACCTACAAAATAGAAAGTGATTTAATCAGCTCAAATTCACAGTAAATCTGTGTTCTTCCTCTAAAATAACTTGGTATTTGAGTGCCCAGAATTCATTTTGGTGATATGAAGTCATACTGTTCAGAAACATATCACTGACTCCTGTTTTCATGTGCTTCTCATTTTATTTTCTCATTGTCAAATTTATCAACATTTACCTGTAATCAGGCTTACAAAAAAGAAGACCAAAAATTCACCAATCCCCAGGTTTGCTCATTTTAAGACTGGGACCAAATTTTTAATGAAAGAATTGACACATCCTTCAACCTTTATTTAAGATAAAGACCCTTTTTTCCACACCAACAAAAAAAAAGAAACCAATGGAAACAGATAAGAGATAAGGTAATTAAATGTTTTTTGTGAAAAGAGTGTGAGAATAACTTACCTAAATCTTCACTGTCTACACTGCAGTTGGAAAGAGGGAGTCTCTTCTGTGTATTTTCAGATTCAATATTCTTACCTGTTTTAAGATCCAGAGGAAAAATTAAAAATATTAAATATTACTATACAAAAACACATTATAAAAAGTAAAAATAGTAAGAATTTAAAATAAATGAAATTTTTATCTGTCTCTAATGCAATTATATATTTGGAAAATCTTATGGAAGAGTTACTTCTCTTACAGAAAAGAACCCCAAGAACATAAGAAAACAGGAAATACTTAAAAACTCTCTCGTTGTGACATCTTGAAATAAAATGTAATTTTCAATCTATTTCAGTGTAAAATAAATTCCCATCTTCAAATTCACTGCATATAAATAAAGAGTGTTGCATGGAACTATAAAGTAACCTTGTTCTTCTGAATTTTGCACTTCTTTGGGATTTGTAGATTTTTCTTTGACAGATAAGGCTAAGGCAACTTCCAAATCTCTTTTATAAAGTTTCTCGTCCAAAGATAACCTGGGGAAAAAATGTCAGCATGTTAAATAATAAAACAATTACATGAGTGTTATAGAACTATTTCTCAGTGAACTCTCTAAAATTCAGATACTTGTGAAGAGATTAATATTTCAGTACATGTTTACAGCATATTTTGTTACAAACATTACATTTTGAAATTATTTACACAAAACACATACTAACTTTTAAAGCACTCCATACTTTAAAGCATTATGATTGTAAAACAGTGTATATGTGCATATATATACATATATACATATATGAACTATTAACTGGCATTATTATAGGAAAAAAAGGTGATTGCATTTGCTTGAAATGCCACACCAAAATATAATATTTAAACACAACTCTACTAATAAAAATTAGATTTATCTTTTTCATTGACACTGACTTCGTATCTTCCATTAAATATGTTCTTTTAGAAGGAATCAAACTTGTCTTTTTTATTTCTCTGGTTTAGGAGTCCCTAAGAAACTCAGAACTTTTAGAGTTATTTGAAGGTGCATTAATACAGCTCAAAATATTTATTACAGTCATGTATTAGTTGTTTGTTCTCAGCTGCTTAAAACTCTAGGGGAAAAGAAACCAAACCCAGAATCTTCTAATTGAAATCCAGTTTTACACAGAGTTTACCACAACATTTCTTACCTCTTACTAAGTGTCTGTGTCTGGGATGGAGTCACTTCTTTGGACTTTTTTGACTTCTCGTTTTTCTCCTTCTTTGATTCCTTGAGCTGTGTTCTTGATCTTTTGCTTGAAGGTGCAAAGTCTTCATCTGTTGGAAAACAGCAACAAGCTCCCATGAGTTTTCCTATATTCTTAAATTTCATCATTTTTATTGCACACTGAAAATATATCGAGATAACGTTTTCTGGAAATTAATCCAATTTTAAAAGAACACAACAACTATAACTGCACTATCCTTAAGTGTATTTAAAATGAAAAGTCAACAGACTCTCTTTTACATGTGCTTTTATGTAAGGGGCAATGATTCCAAATTCTTGATGTACAAGAAAATCCCACTTACCATCATCTTCCAAATCCCCAAACTGAGAATAATCAACAACTTTCTTATTCCTGTGGCAAAAAAAAAAAAATATATATATATATATATATATATATACTATCAATCCTTTCTGACTGAGCATCTTGATTTGGTCAGGGGGACAGAATCATGGATTATCCTTGAGTTGGAAGGGACTCACAAGGGTCATCCAGTCCATCTCCTGGTCCTGCTCAGGACACCCCAACAGTTCTACCCAGTGCATCCCTGAAAGCATAGCCCCAACATTCCTGGAGCTCTGGCAGCCTTGGGGCCATGACCATTCCCTGTTCCAGTACTCCACCACCCTATGGGTGCAAAACCTTTTCCTGATATCCACCCTAACCCTCCCCTGGCAAAGCTCCAGCTGTTCCCTGGGTCCTGTCCCTGGGCACAGAGAGCAGAGATAAATCTACAACCAGTGCAACTGTACAAAATGACTTATTAGGAATAGCTTGTAGATTTTTTTAAGACTCCATACCCTCTCTGGACAATCTGTTCAGTCCTCTGTCACTGCCCAGGACAGAAGCTGTGCCTCCTGCCCAGGTGGAGCCTCCTGGGCTCAGTCCCTGCCCGTGGCTCTGGTGCCATTGC